TATACCACCCCACATTTACTTTCCTTCGGTGTTTTGTCCTTTGGTGAAACCAGTATGTTCCGGAGGGTTCTGGTTGGTCTGAAACAGGTCTTAATCCCGTATGTAGCAAAGATCCTCCTGAGCCCTTCACTCAGGCCTTTTCTATAGGGCAGGACAACTAGGCCTCTATTCGGGCTCTTGTTCTTACTCTGGTACTGGTTATCGACTGTGGGTTTTGGTCTATTGGCCTTATCTAGAGCCCAAGTGGGGTACCCACACTTTCTGAGTGCCTGTGAAATGTGAACTTTCTCCTCTTCTAAGTCTTTGGAGTCAGTAATAATTGTTTCCGCCCTGTGGAACAAGGTGCGGATAACCCCGAGTTTATGATCCAGGGGGTGATTAGAATGGTCTTCCTCTACCCGCTCATGTTTTATCTTTTCTACAAACAGTTGTGAGTTTTTAATGTGATGTACAGTGTTCCCCACTAGAGGGGACAGAGTATCTGCCAAAAACTTGGCGCATGGGTAAGTGATTGAGCCAATACTACTCACTATTGGTCTCAGTGGAATACCAGTTTTGTGTATTTTTGGAAGACCATAAAATTTGGGAGGAACCTCAGTAGTTGGGTATAGTTGTCTGTAAGAAATCCTGTTTAACCCACCTTCTTTCTCCAAGCGTTGGAGCACAGTCACTAGTTGTTTCTTGTATTTCGATGTAGGATCTCTTGACAGTGGCTCCCCGGTAAGACGACCGGAGCAAGGTACGGATTGAGTCCTTGATATTCTGAAAGATACATGGTCAGATAACACAGCTGATTTAATTACACTGTTTCTGATCTTTGATTACATACATATCAGCAAGTAATCAATTATCTTTTTGCTTGAAGCAACAGTCCATTTCAATCAATAGAGCATTTAACCAAGTGTCGTTTAATGACCTTTTGACACCTGCATTCTACCGATCATAACTCTAGTAAACGATTTATCATGCTATGACACGCATACGTTTTTCAAATTGCAGCGGTCGTGTCTGTTCTGATGGTTAACGATAAGTACGGTACGTCCCATGGAGGCACTTCTACCACGAGCTGTCAGGTGGCCCAGTTTCTGCAACGCCATGGTGCCATAGTTCATTGCACAGCTGTGCAAGCATCTGAAGAAGACAAGCGACGGGCCGCGGAAGATGGTGTCCGCCTGCATCTGCCTGTAAAGAAACACAGAGACAAGAGAACGCCTTCTTTGGAATGGTTGACCCACTACCACAGCATCCACTTCCCAGACATACCACAGGATCTAAATTGCATTGTAGGCAATGCCGATGTTACAAGCGAAGCTGCAAAAAGCATACGAGAGAACGGCCGCGAAGTGGCAAAACTGGTTATTTTCAACCACGACATGCCAGAAGACACGGAGCACTACAAGGGAGCAGGGAGAAAGGTGGAAGACATCCTTGACGATACCAAGAATGCAGACGCCGTGTTCTCCTTGGGAAGAAGAATCTACGACTACTTCGAGACGAAGTACAACTCACTTGGAGAAAGCAGACCACGCAAACACTTTTTGTTTCGTCCAAGACCATCTCCAGTGTTTGAAGCCATCTCTGTTAGACCAGGAGGAGGAGAGAAAGTCGTGCTGTTTGTCGGGACAGTGACCGGTGTGGAAAAGCTAAAAGGTCACGACCTGGTAGCACGGGCCTTGGGAGAGGTTGCAGAAAAGATCCCAAACGTCAGATTGCGTGTTCGCGTGGTAGATGAAGATGACTATGAAGCTAGTAAGAAAATCTTGCAAGAGAACCTACGCAGTAGTAAGATCAAACCAACGCTACTGCCGTGTGGAACCCAGGAGGACATTGCTCAGGACATGCAGCAGGCCCACCTGGTCCTGATGCCGTCCCGCGCCGAGCCGTTCGGACTGATCGGTCTGGAGGCTATCACAGCAGGCATCCCCGTACTCATCTCTGACAAGTCAGGCCTAGCAGACATGATCAAGGACTTGATCAAGGAAAAGAAATGTAATCCAGACATGAGGCACAGGATTGTAGAAACCAGCATGAGGGAGACCGACCTGGATGAGGATGCAAGAGAATGGGCAAAGAAGATTGCTGACACCTTGGAATGCTGTGACTGGGAATTTCAGAAAGCAGAAGAGTTCAAGAAGACACTCTTGGATTCCAAGTACTGGGAAGAGTCACACCAAAACCTGCTACGGGTCTGCGGATTGATTGACTGACTCTTGTTCGAGGGCTATGGATCCAACGTATCGAAATCATCATCGCTGATTCTGATGCACTGACTTAAACTGTCATCAGTAATATCAAAGTTGAAAGAAAAATTGTCAAGTTGGGACATGAATACGATATAAAACTAGTGCATACTGTTACGAACATAGTGATGTTAATAACCAGAGCATTGTTTATCATTGACTTATTTGAAACCTTAATTTGGAATTTATTGTCACCATCCACAACCATGTAGGCGTCACTGCCGACCTGTCCTGGTCACAACACATCGAGATCGTCTCTGCAAAAGCAAGACGTTCTTCTGGACTGTTATATATGTGCCCTAAGAAGGACAATTCCCAAGAACTTACTGCTCAGGCTATACAAAACCATCACAAGACCATCACAAGACCAACAAGAATACGCGCGCATGGCTGAAAATGAATGAGAGGATAGATATGGGTGGAGAAAATAGCAGACAATTTGGAGTGAAAGTGAAAGTGAAAGTGATCTCGATCCAGTTTAGCTCATTGAAGAGCTAATCTTCCACTGGTCGTGACAGAGAAGACAGACGCTATGTACAGTATTTACAGGTTCATTGTACCGGGGAAATTCCCCTAGCTCTTTTCGACAAGCACAATGAACAGTGGACCACGGTTAACGTCCCGTCCGAAGGACTGCGATCCTAAACAGTAGCGTGCATGTCGGGTGAGTGACATCAGCCGGGATTCGAACTCCCAACCTCTTAGTCCAGAGGCAGGATCGCTAACCACTGGACTACGCACGCTATAGTACAAGTACTGGGAAGAGTTGAACCAAAACCTTGAAGTTCTCAAGAGCTCTGGATTAATCAATTGAGTCTAGATCGCGTCCATTCTCCCAAGTATCAAAGTTTTTTATCTCTTATTTTAATCCACAGATTTTAATGCCTTTAGTTCTGCGTGTTCCAAATCAAAGATTATTTGACAACGGCCTCATCTATTAGTTGCCATGTAATTTTTCAAAGTGTATATATCTACATAGACATCAATTTTTGTTCGACGTTCATAGGCCATTTCTACTATGTACTTGCAACCAAAAATGGAAATATTTGAACTACTTGCCTACGTATGGACTGATATCAATAGAAACTTGAAATGACAGAAACACGTAATTTTCCATCTAATGCAAAGTAAATTTTGTACAGCAACCTGTATCTAATGTACATTAGAGCATGGTGTTAACTGGCATATTAACAGCTCTTTGTTTAGAAGAAAATGTTGCCCAAAATGTAAAAGATGAGAGAGGATCGTAGAGTATAGAGTACAGTAAAGGGTATTGTGTACAGTATATTTTGGAACATATTGAGGTTTGCAATCTGTTAATAACCAGAGTATTTTTATTATTTATGACAGATTGATATTGATTTGTAACCTTGATTGTGTCATTAGCATTTTTAGATACAGGTGTCATAAATTGTATTTTTCTGTTTGACCCTCTGTATTTTGAAAACAGTATAGGTACCCCAAGCTTGACATATTGTTTTTTACTACTAGCAAAGCCTCGTCTAATACTTGTAATTTTTAAAAGGAGTAACTTTTTTATGGTTATTAGCGTTGCTAATTTTGTTGATATCTTGAAATAGCACATGTAAATACAACATTGACAAACTAGTACCGTGCGAAGTACAGTGGTACTATGTACTACGCAAGGTGTACACTGTGGTACAGTGGTTAGCGACTCTGCCTCTGGGCCAAGAGGTTGGGAGTTCGAATCCCGGGTGTTGTCGCTCACCCGACATGCACGCTACTGTAAAGGGTCGCAGTCCTTAGGACGGGACGTTAAGATGGGCGATGTGGTCCACTGTTCATTGTGCTTGTTGAAAAGAGCTAGGGGAATTTACCCGGTATAATTAACCTGTAAATACTGTACATAGCGTTTGCCTTCTCTGTCACGACCAGTGGGTAATAAGCTTTTAAAAGCTGAGCTTAAACTGGATCCAGATTCCTTTTTTGACTCGTTGTAAGGTGACCTCATTCATGCAAATTTTATACATCGTATTGAATTTGATGAGCTTGTAAATCAGTTATCTCAATTTGCTTCATTACTTATTCGAAAGAAGCCATAAATCTTTGTTGTTTCATATGCTTTTAGAATAACATGGTTTACAGACGATAGCGGTTCCGTTTTTCTTATTTTAGTTCTTTATCGTTTAGCTTCACACAAGAAATACACATTAGCTACCAATTCCCCTGTAACTTTTCTTTATCAATATTTTCTAATTCACATTATTGTCAACATGCCATTCTAAAAAGAAGATAAAAGACACTAAGTATTTTATAATTGAACTCTTTCACAGCTACAGTACTTCATTGATGTACATATGTTTTCAAAACACTTTTTACATATTTTTCCGACAAAATACTTCATTCTGAATAGGAAACAGCAGCTTGTAACGGAAAATTATAAACAGGATGTTGCGTACCCTTAAAAACAGAAACACCTGGCTGTAACTTGACAAGAAGTATCCAACTCCTTTAGTTTGGCAATTGGAAATATTTTAACCGGGCGAAAATGTTTCAATTGTAGAAAACTAGTAATGCATAGGCGAGACTGGTCGTTGTGATTACTTTGGTACCACAGCTGGGATCTCTGACTTTTAGGCCCTTCAACTGTGATAATTATCTATCGCAATGAACTTGCTCTATGGTGTATATTTGTAGTGTATGCTTTACACTGAGGGCAACATCGGACTAGAAAGGCCAGGGTTGATTTAAATACCAAGGTAAGGGACTGAAGGGGCGTAGCCCAAGGAGGTACATGCGAGTGCAGCTAACCTTTCATATCCAAACATAACCTTATGCATCCGACGATGCAACTCACTCAGACTTACATTGCTTACATCCAGATACCAAGCGCTTCTAGCTCTGCTTGTTATGTTTTGGATGTTTCGATGAATAAAAAAAACAAACCTTACCTAAGACAATCCCACAGACCTCTAATTTACTCTTGCCATGTCCCGACACAATGGTACCTTGACCAAATATAACGTACCGCAAGAACAATTGAACATTACTAGTATTTTCTGCACATCACCATGTATGTAATGCATGTTTTCATGCCTACATATTGCATACCTACCTGTCGGCCTTCCTAAATATATTTTATGACTCATGTAGAACAGCGTAGTGTTCGGTTTAAGTTATAAAGAACCCCGTGTATGTTGAAATGCTTACTAGCGTTCTCTAACTGTATGTTGGAATGTTTCCTAATGCTTCCTTACTCTATTTTTTTCAGTTTCTAAGTGTATATTAGAATGTTCAGCGTTCTCCGGCTGAACTTTTAAATACTGTTATCTTACAAAATGCTTATCACAACCAAATCTAATTTAAACAATAACATAATCAATTTCCAACTAGCTGTTTAATCAGGAATTCAACCTTTAGGCGTTAAACTTTTAATCAATGTTGGGAATTGAGTTAATTTTTGTGTGCTATTTGCATAAATAAATTACCATCATTACGAAAGACTTGTGTATCCTGAATCCTTAACCCTCAACAGTACACCTTCCCGGACTGATTAATCTGTACACCTGGGGTCCGCGCGGACCCCAGAACAGTTTTTTGCTAATTTTTAGAAATTATCAACATGCTACCAGCTCAATTGTTTTGCAAACTGATGTGGGAACCTCTGTGTCCACATTACATACAAAAATCATACATTTTGAACTTTTTCTTTTTTTTTAGTGAAGAAAAGAAGACAAGAAGAAATACCCGATTTTTAAACCCATTTCAGACTGAGGGGGCTTTTGAGGCCCAACTTTGATCTCGGATAGCGGCTAAACGGCTTGCGCTAGAAGTATCAAATTTGGAGACCTTTCCTAAAATGTCTCTGGAAAAAAGTTCATATTAGTTTAATACTAGTAAGTTGATGTTTTTTGTGTTGCCATGGCAACGGGCAGTTTTTTTTAAATAGAAGTAATTTTGGTTTAAACATAAAAATTTTCTGAGTTTTATATTAAATTACACTTCTTTTTGAACATTAATAACATCTTACATAATTAAATATACGTTAAATCATTTAATATGCATAGAATATGCTAATTTGATGACGTCATTGGTCAAAATCCAATATGGCGGACTATATTATTAGCTCTGACGTCATATGACGTCGTAATTACACCAAAGTTATCAAAATTTAATTCTATTATTGCAACATTCTCTGAAAACTTGGTCAACATAAGATGAGTGCATAAAAACATATAAAAACGGAAATAAGGTAATGTATAAGAACGCCAGTGTATCCATTATGATCGAAAGCCGGCTGGGGTCCGCGCGGACCCCAAAAGAAAATCAGATATAATTTTTTTTATAAATGGTAGAAACGGAGTTTTCTGCTATGTTTTGAGAGACAACTTTGTGGGTGACAATTACCTAAAATTTCAGAAAAAAATCTTTAGAAACAAAAAAGATATTACAGAATATATAGTGCTGGGGTCCGCGCGGACCCCAGGTGTACTGTTTAGGGTTAATGTTACAACTTACGTCTGGTTCGCTTTAGAAACCAACTTGATTGCAGGGAAGGCTGGTCCTTTCCCAAGAGTAGAGTGCCTTGAATGTCCATATGTGTACTGTTTCCCTTCTGTAAGATCCGTTCGTTGCTGATGAAATCGAAGTTAAATTGTATCTGTTATTTTTAAGTATGTCAATGTATAATGATATGGATTTTATTGAGTAACTAGTAATTTTAGTGTGTTATGCCAGATATGTCAAAAATCAAAATTGTACAGCAAGACACAATTTAGCTGATGGCTACAAGGTTTTGTTTTTACAAATAAACCATTTGATTGATTGATTGATTGATTGATTGAAGTCAGAAAAAGCAACTAGTGTCCTTACCTTTAAAGTATTTACCATACTGAAAACGTAATTTATATCAACGTCTAAAGTACTGGATAGAAAATGACATTTTACAACATGGAATGCTATATGTAAAACCTTTATTTGTAATCAAAACAATGCCGATGTTAATCACTTTCTAGATCATGTCGCAACACTAAGCGGTACAAATCATGCTAATCAGTGTGTTTTCTACCAATGCACAGCTAAGTACTTTCTTATCATACAA